TCAAAAAAATAAATTTTGGGTAGTTGTTTAATTTTAATAGCTATTAACTAAATTCAAACAAATTCCCAAAAATTAAGATGATTAAATTAATTATTCCTCTTTTATATTTTATTATTTTAATGAATATTCAATGCTTCGGTAAACCTATTTGTGTGAAATTAAAAATCAAAAGTGATTGGGAAGAAAAAAGAGAATTCATTTATTTAAAAAATGTTGAATTAAAGGAGCGTTTTGTATTAAAAACAATTGAAAAGGCTAATAATAAATTTGATAGTTGTTTTAATTATAATGTAGAAGAATATTTGCGTTTAGTTAACATAAATATTGATAATAATATTTTTAATGTTATAATAAATAAAAGTACATATAGACGTGATTTTACATTAAAAAGGAAAGTTGTTATTGAAATGGCAAATAATGAAATTATTCAAAGAATTTTGCCTGAATTTGAAAAAAGGGTATTTTATATTTTGATTTTTGAAATTTTTAAAATTCTTATTGTTGTGTCCGCACTTGCAGAATGAATATAAATGAAAATAAATAACCCAGCATCGGGTTGGATGGTGGCTTCAGTCTGGGCTCATTCAATAATGGTTCTATTCCATCCCCCATCCAATGGATTTTTCAACAGCATGAAATTATATTTATGTTGAAAATAAAACAATTATTTTTAAACTTATACTAAGCATTTTAAATCATCTTAATAACAACCCTATTAATAAATAAAATTATAATTTTAAGGTACTCATAAATAATAATTTTATTAAAAATAAAAATTATTATAAAACTTCTATATTAGACGAGAGTTTACAAAATATAAAAATAAATAAAAATGAATTATTGAAAGAAAATATGGAATCCTATAAAAACAAACTTTTATCAAGTTATTGGACGGAAATTAATTTAATTGGATATAAAATTGAATTGTTAGAAAAACAAAAAGTTGAATATTCAAGAGAATTAAAAAACAGAATTCTTTCCATTGTAAATAAAATAAGTAATTATAATTTTTTATTTTATTTTTAATTATTATATCTAGTCGAGATTAATGAAGTAAAAAATCGACACTGTTTCAAATGTGGGGGAACACAATCAAAACAATGGTATAAATACTTGAAAAAACATTTTTTGTGCACCAAATGCTACGATTATAAACGAAGAAATAAAGGAAAGAGTAATGAAATAGAGGTTTGATTTTGGCTCTTGTCCAGTTTAAGCGTCCAATCGCACCTGTCCAATTAACCTTTATGCGTCCAATGGAAAGTTTATGCGTCCAATAAAATTTTATACGTCCAATCACATATTTTAAGTACCTGGTTCTTTAATTTATTGCCATAAAATCTATGGGAATAGAAAGCTCTACTCACAAGAGACTTTTCATTGGACGTATTGTACGTATAAATGTGCGATTGGACGATTAAACTGAAAAAGAGCCTTTATTTTCCATAATTTATTACTTGGCTGCGTAGTAATACATAAGTGAATTTTTTAATTATATGAGTAAATTTTTAACAGATTCCATCTGAATATGATCATCAATGTTTCAATTGTGGAGTTACACAAACACCGTGTTGGCGCCGTCATTCAGAACTTGGAAACTATTTATGTAATAAATGTGGGATAAATGAACGAGGATATAATTTGAAGAAAAATAAAAATTAAGAGGGAAAAGAATTGAATAATTAGAAGCAATTGGGAAATTAAACTTTCTGTGCCAAAAACAGAAAAAATTTTTTATTTAAAAAAAAAACAAAAATTTTTGCTACAAAATTATTATATTTTAAATTATTTTATGGTTTACTAAAGAAGGGCTCGCCTTTCGGACGTGCCTCTTTGATAGCCCAAACCTTTTTACCATCATTTTCAAACAATGAACTCTTATATAATCAGGCAGAACTTGTATATATAGGTATACCAATAGCTTGAAAGTTTACCAACCCATTGACAAAATCTTATCTACCCAAGGCCGGAAATTATATGTCCAGCCATTATCCGATACCTTCATCTTTTGCCGGAAATTTTATCAAAATAGTTAATTTGGCTCTTGTCCAGTGTATGCGTCCAAACAAATTTTATGCGTCCAAATAATGACGTATCAACATCTAAACATTGGGCTGTGGTACATCGGGGTGTACCCACAATAATATAAATGAATACAGATAAAAGAAATAGCACCGTCTTAACTTCCAAAACAAAAAAAACCCAAAACATTTTTTGCGCCGCATAGAAATATTTTTTAATTTTGACAACCAATAAGCCATAATTCTGCTTCATTAGCGCCACAAATTAAAATTTTTAAAAAATTTTCGAAAATCATCACCAAAAGGTGGGTATCGAAGGGAAAGATACTCTAAAATCGTTTTGAAACAGCTTTACCTCTAAACGATATTGGATTATTATTCTTTATGTAAGGATGATTCACCCAGCAGCATTTAAAACGCTTAGGCGGGGGTTAAACGATCTAAAAAGGAAAAAGAGAAAGCATTAGTCGATGCCCCGGTAGCTCAGAGGTAGAGTTCCTGCATATAGTAAGCGAAAGCGCCTAGCAACAACTAGCAGGTGGTCGCAGGTTAGATCTTGCGGATCACCCCTAATGTCGAAAACTACATGGGGTCCTATTATATTGTTACACTTCAAAATCAAATTTATTATTATAAAATTTTTTGAAAAAATTGCTTTTAACTTTTTCTTTTCAATATTGATACATAATATCCTTACCTGTATTCTACCAAAATTTGAAACAAATCCATTCAATATTTGGTAGGATATCGATAAAAAACTAGGGGGTCCTATCATTTTGTTACAGAGTGTATACTTTATAACGTGCTGGCATAAAATTTGCCGCTAGAATGCGTGTCGACGCAGAAGACCCATAGACAGAAGACCCAAGGACAGAAGACCCACAGACAAAAGACCCACAGACAGAAGACCCACAAAGACAGAATACCCACAGACAAAAGACCCACAATTATTTTTCAGTTTTATTGTGCATAAATTTTGGCGCAAGGGATGTTGTTAATTCTATTAGATTTCCATAATAAAAGGGTGATCCAACAACGGGAAAAGTTGTTTCGATATTTGCGAAGGTCGTTCCAATAATCGGAAAGGTTGTTCCAACAATGAGGATGTTGTTCCAATAACGGGGAAGTTGTTCCAACAACAGGGATATTATTTTAACAATGCGGGATGTTGTTGCAAAAACGGGTCAAGTTGTTCCAAAGATGGGAATCTTGTCCCAATGACAAGAGAGTGGATCTTCCCCGGATTTTCGGGATTTTTAATCCGGTCCAGGTCATGTCAAAAAACATAATCTGATCAGGTTCAGATATAATAAATGATATGAAAATAGCTAATTGTCCTTCCAAAATTCAAAGAATTTTCACCTAGGTTGTTAAAAATGTAGAAACTTTGCTTCTTGCTTTTTCAAAATTCCCAAAATTTTTGTCTGCGACGATAAAAAAAGTAGATCAAAGGGACATTTAGTATCAAGGGGTATTCAAGATAAACTTAATACTCCTTGATTTAAGATTAATACCCCTTGATAAAAGATTAACTAATACACCTTTTATCCTTCTATATCCCTCCACACGGAGGGATATAGTCAAGAGTATTGGAAATCTGCAAGGATGTCGTGGATCATTGGTATTAGCAGAGATTAGGTAATTATTTCTGAATAAGATGAAGGGATATTTGGAATAAATTTTTTGGAATAAATTTTCTTAATATTTTAAAAATATTTTTTGAAATCTTGTGCCTAGAAAAATAGACAAGTCTTTTTCAAAAATTTCAGAAAATTTCTTCTCAAGTTTTGGTTAAAAAATTTTTCTTGTGGGTCTTTTGTCTGTGGGTATTCTGTCCTTGTGGGTCTTCTGTCTGTGGGTCTTTTGTCTGTGGGTCTTCTGTCCTTGGGTCTTCTGTCTGTGGGTCTTCTGTCACTACGCCGCTAGAATGATACAAATTTGAAGCAAAATTATCTATTAAATAAAGTTGCGGATTAAGAATTTGGCCGGATCTCTTTATATCTTTTATTGTGTTTTGCAACATATACTATTTAAAAATTTTTTTTAATTAATCTTTAATTTTTTACCTAATTTTTAATCGACTATTTCATATGATTGAGTAAAGGGATGGCAAGGAGGATTCCTTAGCGAAGTCTTATGTGAAGGTAGCTGCGCCAAAAAGAAATCGACGATTCATATGTATTATTATTTATTATATTATTTTATCAAAATAATCGGATTCCGGACTACCGTTTCCGGAAAATACAGCCCGGATCCGGATTTTTTGTAAGTGCTTTGCCGACAAACTGATACAAAATTTGAGAAAACTTAACTAAATATGTGGCCGGATATAATTACGGAATACTAAACAGACTCCGATTGTTTTATTTACTAGGCAAGGGTTAGGGAATCCTCCTTGCCATCCCATTACCCAATCATTTGAAATAGTCTATTAAAAATTAAATGAAGAATTAAAGATTAAGTAAAAAAATTTTTAAATACAGGGTTGGGGTCATAAGGGCGCGGGGCCATTAGGGCGCCAGCACTAGAAACTGACACTTAGGCGAAACCGAAATTTATGAAAATTTTCTCAAATATCTTTAACATCATTGACTACCTCCTCCAGAAATTTCAGAATTTTTCATAGAATATTTCTGAAGGTATAGTCGATAGACTGCGAAAAATTAGTGTTTTTTCGGAAAATCAACATTTTTGGCCACAATTTCCGAACGACAAACGCGGATGACAATTCCGAATTGACTTTTGCGGATTTAAAATATTGAAAAAAATTTTTAATTATTGAAATGGGATCCTTTTTTAGTGCTGAAAAATTTTAAGAAAAACACCAAAATATTGCAAGAAAAATAGAAAAATATTGAGTTTATTTTAAAGGTATTTTAGAAATAATAAAATTTATAAAATTTCTTATTAAACTTTTTAGCATTAATTATTAAAAGACTTCTTTACTCTAAAAATAAAATTCAGCAATTTATTCAAACTTTCTTTTATTCAATTTTTTCAAAATTTGCATCATATAAATTGTTAAAACCAAAAATTGTATCAGATGCTCTAACACCTAAATAGTTATATTTAAAACATAAAAAAATAAAAAATTTTTGTTTTATACGTTTAACTGATGTTGAACTGCCATTCGATTTTTTATATTCACATTTATTTTGGATAAAACAATCAACAGCCGTACTTTAATTTAATTTTAAAATATATACATATGTATACATATGTTTTTTACATTATTAAAGTAGTATTAAAACATAAAAACACATTTTTCACGAGGCCTCAACTCAATTTTTTTGAAAAAAAATTTTTTCAAAAAAAATTGAGTTGACTTTTTAATTTTTAGATTTTGAAATTGACTTTGGAGTCAAAATAGAATGCCAAGAGATTTTTACAATTATGCAGTATATCAGTCAAAATGGCGCGCCCTTAAAATGTCCTCCCTTAAAATGTCCTGATGAACAAAAACCCTCAAAATGTCCTCCCTTAAAATGTTCTACCCAAAAAATGTCCTAATAAACAAAAACCCCGAAAATGTCCGGAAACCATTTTCCGGATTTTCGGAAAACATTTTTCGGGTTTTCCGGTAACCTTATTACCGTATTTTAAATTAAAATTACCCGGATTCCAAAAAAGGAATGGGGTAGGACATTTTTTGGGTAGGACATTTTAGGGGAGGACATTTTAAGGGTTTTTATTCATTAGGACATTTTGAGGGTTTTTGTTCATCAGGACATTTTAAGGGTAGGACATTTTGAGGCGCAGCTGTCAAAATAAATATGCATCGATTGCAAATCAGCACGAGATGAACTAAATATGCAAAAGTATTCATTAGGATGTTTCCAACTTGGAAACACATTTTTGAGCTTATCTTAACATTGAATAACACATTGAATTTATACATATTTAAAGAAATAAAAAGTAAAACCCCCTACTCAAAGCATCCACAGATTCCAATTTCACATTCATTTTTCGTTAAAGAACATTTTGAATGCACATTAGAGCAAGGTTTTTCAATAAGTTTAGTAGGAAACCCCTTTTTTGTACACTTTCCTTCAGATATTAATGATATTAGACATTTAGTATATTCAGTTTTGCACCTGGAATTTATTATGTATCTTTAAAAAAGTTTGAGAAAGCATGAAAAATAAAAAATTCCGACTAAGATTAACATACATGCAGGAATTATCTACACGATATCCCATCGCAGTGTCGCATTGTTCAACTGTTGCTTTTTCACCATTTGTGAAATAACAAAAATTAATTAACAAAAATAAAAGAAAAAAATTCATTTAATTAATTTAAAAAAATTTATTTAATGAACCATTTAAGGTTAATATTCCTACTTATTTATATTAAAATTTAAAAATTATTATTTATTAATTAATTAAAGTTTAAATTATTTTTACCAAATTTATATTTCGGTTTAAATAAAAATTTTAAAATAAAGACAGGTTTTTATAAGTTCAAAAAAAAAAATAAATTATTTTTGTTTATTGAAATAAATAAATTGTTTTTAAATAATAAAATTAAAATAAATTTGAAAATAAATGGTTAATTCTTTCATACATTCAGCAAGGTGAAGTTTTTTTAAAATACAGATTCAATAAAGCAAAATCTAATTTTAATTACAGAAACTAAATTCAAATAAATCACAGAGAATTTTGTTTGTTAAAAAAAGAGAATTTAAAAATAGGTATATAGTATAATTAACATAATTTAATAAAAATCAGAAAATATTAACCGGTTTAGCAAAACTGTAAAGATTTTATGAAAATTTTTAAAAATATTTAAAAATAATTTTTTGCGGTAAGAAATTTTCTCATTTGCCTTTAAATTTTTAGAGAATTACAGAGCATGATGGTAGAACAATCCAAATATAGATACCGTAAATGCTCTAATAGAACCTCATGTGCTTGTATTTTTCGCTCCTCACGTGGTTTGGTTATATTAGAGAGTGTGCTTCTTTCAGAGAGTGTGGTTCTATTAGAGCATTTACGGCATTTCAAGAAAGCAAAAAGCAAAACTTTGTATAAATATTATAAAAGAAATTGAAATAGGTAATAAATATTGGGAAAAATAAAAATTTTTACAAACATAATTTTAAAAAAAACTTGGGAAAAACCTACCGTATTTATTCGATTAATTCCCCTCGGGAATTATTTTTTCACCCATCCATGGCATGGGGAAGTATTCAGGGGAGGGGAATTATTTTAGTTTTGGCATTTAAACGTGTAGTAGGGTATTTGGGGGAGGAGGATTATTGTTTCAACTCATCCGTAGCAGGGGAAATTATTCGAGGGAGGGGAATTAATCGCTTAAATACGGTATTAATATACAACTGTTTAACGTCTTCAAGCATTTTTACTTTTTAAATAATTAATTAAAAAATAATTATTTTGGAATCATTATCGGATCAGAACCTTTCTTTTCAGAATCCTTCATTGCCTCCATCACAGCTTCCTTAACATTATTTGCAATAATATTCTCATTAAATTCAATAATAGCCAAATAAACAATATTTCCAACATTTTTATCAAATTTTTCTTCCCAACTTTGCGAATTCTTTGAAGAATTTATCGAGTCTTTCAAAATTTTATCTTCTTCAATTTCCCCTCTTTCCAATTTTTTATTTTTTAAATGATCCAAAATTATTTTCCCCTTATCTTTGTGTATTTTACCACAATCTGTCTCTTTCCCAATATCACAAAGATAAGCACTTACCCAATGAATTAAAGGAATTGACAAATTTTTAAAATCGAAAGAGTTCCAATTCCACTCTTTTTCGGCGTGTAATTTCAACTTTTTAATAATAAAAGCAAATAATTCTTTGTTGTTTGAATAGGAATGAAATTCAAAATCCTGGGGTCCATGTACTTTATTAAAAAGATTGGGTAACCAATAGAGTGAATCTGTTTTGATTTGGAAAGGGCCTAGAAAAATATTAATTTTAAATCAAATTAATAAATTATAATAGTTTAATTTATATTTTATACTTAGATAGATAGTTTTTAGTATAACTTTGTTTTCTAATACATAAGCTCAAATCTTATATCAGATTGAGCATATATAAAGGGTACAACACATACTGCCTATAACCCTGAATGCCTAAACAATTTTGATCAACACAATGGATTCATAGGGGATATCTGTAGATTTGAAGGTATATCTGTTGATTGATACTTAATGTAAATAACATTTATGTGGTATTGCTAGGGCGTGGATTGCTTTCTTGAAAAAGAACGTTAATAGTAAAATTAGCCCTATCATAGGGTGTGAGTTAACTGAACCTTTTCCACAACTATTCTATTCCCACAAAAATCCAACTTCCAAAATATGAACGGTTTCAATATATGATTGTCGGTTTTCGAAAGATCATTGTTTATAAATCAAAGGAATACACAAATCACTTTTCTATATTTCCTGCTTCCCTACCTTCATATTTTTCTTTGCCTTCGTAGTCCTTCTCAAAATTTAGGAAAGATGTCGTTTCTGTAGTTGGCCTAAATTTTCCTTTCCATCCCAATTCGTTTTGTATTGTTGTTACAAAATCACGCATAAATGTTACCTCTTCAGAAGAGTATGATAAAAGAGAGGGGTCATAGTAGCCAGGTATAGGTGCGAAATATGTAGTCAAAAGGTCCTGATTTAAGACCAATTGAAAAAATTGGAAAAGAAGGCCGAACAATAAAGCGTCTGTCTAAATATAAATAGAATAAAAATACTAATCCTGATTTTTTCGGGACATTAGTAAAAAATGGGACGTTCTTGTAACTTTTTGTGGACTTATCCCTATATAGTTCCTTGTGTTTTTAGTGGGATTCAGGGTGACCCTTTCCAAACCACTAAAATAGGGCGCAGCCACTCAAAAATGTGGCAAAAACTGCAAATAAAAGCTCCGGTTTCTTTACAAGTATTTATTTCAGAAGTCAGATTTCCAGGGATCTGTTTTAAAACAGAGAATTTTGATATATTTTGTCAAAAATTATCCAACCACTTTTGTCAAAATTTAAATACCTCTAAAATGGATAATTCCCAAAAATTCAAAAACAAAACTAAAATCGAAACTCGGTTTAAGTTAGGAAAAACCTGGGGACTAAAAACTAGAGTTGATCAAGACGAGACCGATACCGAGAGTCTCGGCTTTTTTCCAATATCGGTCTCGGTTTTTTCATTCTCGGTCTCGAAACCGATACCGATATTCTCGGTCCATTTCTCGGCGAGAAACGATACTGACTCAAAGAACCAAAATTATCAATATTGTCCAAGTTTTCGTCCATAATTTTTTTCGGATATCAGTCCATAACAGAGAAAGTGAATTTTTTCGAATAAGGTCTTCTAAAATTAAAAAAATTTTTGCCTGCGGCGCTGAAAACGGAAGAAATTTGGTGACTTGGCCTTCAAATTTTAATAAATTTTCGTCTGCGGCCCTGAAATATTGAATTTTCCGAGCCCTCTGCCGTTAAATTTTCAAGATTTTGATTACAAAGCCTTCCGATTTTCGGCAAATGTTGTTCCCACCAGTGGATTAAGTGGATTTAAAATGATCGGAAGCAGGGATGAGCGCATTGAGTTTGCGTATCTGACAAATGAGTGTAACAATTGGAAGCTATCTGGCTTCATGGCCTTCCAAAATTCTCAAATTTTTGTCTGCGGCGCTGAAAATAGGACGAATTCTGGTTTATTGGCCTTCCAAAATTCTCCAAAATTTTGCCTGCGGCGCTGAAAATAGTAGGGTTCAGCGGTATCGGGATCCCGACCGGTATCGGGCGGTATTATACCGGTCTATCTGAATACCGATACCGATTTTCCTGATACCGATACCGAAAGATAAATCCCGATACCGTTTTTGCTGATACCGATTATCGGGAACCCTAGAAAATCTGAACCCTAGAAAATAGGACGAATTCTGGCTTCTTGGCCTTCCAAAACTACAAATTTTCGCCTGCGGCGTGAAAAGTGGTAGAAATCTGTTGACTTGCACTTCTAAAATTCTAAAAAATTTTGCCTTCGGCGCTGACTTCGGCCATCCGCGGATACCCGCGGATGGATATGCCTCAAAAGTTGTAAGGATATAATTGGATACGGATGTCCATTGCCAAGCCAGATCGGATCCAGATGATGAAGAGTATTTATCTGATGATTTGGATGATGAAAATAATGAATAAATTATTTTTACACGTATTTTTTGACATAAAATAAAAATTTTCTGTTAGTCTCGGTCAGTATCGTTTCTCGGTATCGGTCTCGGCTCAAAATGATGGTATCAGTCTCGGTATCGGGTTCTTGAGTATCGGTCAATCTCGGTCTCGGGTTGGCCGATACCAGTATCGTTTTGATCAACTCTACTAAAAACTAATATAAAAGGCAATATAATAATTATTTACAAATGTTGGTTCATTTCCAAACAAAAATTTGTATTTTTTATGTTCTCTTGCTTTAATCTGTTTAACAATTATTTCCATTTTATGGTCGAAATATAATTTTAATTGCTCCCCATCAATCTTCATAAAATTAGAGTTTATTGAATGTGTTAGCAACCCAACTCGCCATTTTTCTTTTATTTTTTCCGATTTTAGATAATTTTTTATCTAAAAATTTAAATTTTGTTTGAAATTTTTAGACGAGCACACCCAAAAGTACCGCAAGGTCAAGGTACTCTTATAGGGATGGGTCCTATTTAATTCAAAGTTATCGGATGGTTCGATGCACCTCGACGTGCTGAATCGGACTGCACCCGGAGTTCCTGGATTTAATAACTTTGATTCCAGTAGTTTACTTTAGCCTGCCCTAAAAGGCAGAGTTTCCATATCTGGCTGGATCTAGTATACTCTCTATAAAGCAGGAAAAATGCTTTTAAAGTTTATCAGCAATGATAATTAAAAACTACCTCAGCTTCCCAACTTCCTTCTGTTGCTCTGAATTCATTCCACATAATTTCATTTATCAATGGAACTATCCAACTTTCAAAAAGAATCAAATCACTTTCATTTAATTCAACCTTTCTTTCCATTCCCCACCAAGCACTTGCCGCTGCTCCACTCGAAGAAGAAGAAGAACCAATACCTTTTGGGTGTTTTAAAGATTTTTTATTTTTTGGATTAAATTCAAAATATTCTTCTTTCATAACACCCTTTGACTTTGCCGACGGTTCTAAGGGTAAATGTCCAGTTTCAGTTCCACTAACCCTATATTTTGATAACATCTCAAGACTTTCTTTCAAATGTCAAGACTTTCTTTCAATTTCTTTCAATGATCAATATTAGATAGCGCAATTAATAAAAGCAATATCTCTCGGGATAAAATGGATACCAACTTTTAATTTGTTCACATTCAAAATTTACCTATGTTTGTTTTCCGTTAAACTTTTAATCTATGTATTCATTATCTATATTTACTAGTATTTTTAACATTCATTTTATATTAAAATTAACTTCATTTAAGAAAAAAGTCTCTTTTTACTTCTTCAATCTTCCCTTTGCTTAAAAAAACTCACATTCTAAATTAACGGGAAGAAATAGAACTTTTGTCTGCCTAGGCATTGTATATACCTATTTAGATATTCAGAATATTTTCGGAGTTTTTTTTTTAAATCTGGTAAACTAAGCAAATATGTTTATTAATCATCTCAAACAGAACAAAGTCCATTGTGTGAAAAATTATATATATTTTTTTCATTATAATAGTTTAATCTCGCTTACTATTACATATTTATCGGCAACTACAATCTCCTTACATGATATTTCTTTTATACTTTCACCTTTGCAAAATGTAATTAATAGTGATTAATATTTCAAACATTTTTTTTCTCACTAAATGAGTTTCATTGTTGTTTTTAGGGGAAATTTTTTTTATGGCCTAGGCTATATTAACGGTTATAATTTACTTTTCATTATGTTTTTGAAATTTTTTATTTTAAATTTTTTTTTTTGAAATCCACTTTAAGTGACTACAAAAATTTTTTTTTATGGATCTAAAATTCTCTCTTTTCAGTCAGATTTATCGATAGAGTGCATAAATAGCATGGGTCCGGTAAAAAAAAAGAAAAATAAAGAAAACTTAAATGAGGTATGCCCAGTAATTTTGTGAGAAATAAGTAGTTTTTCAAAAAAATGGACATTTTCAGTTCATTTTCAGTTATATTTAACATTTTCAGTTATAAGCTGGATAAACGGTCCCTAGTTTTTAGAATTCTAAATACCCAATTTTGTTTTATATATTTTTTCTTTCTCTAGAATTACAATTTTAGCACTGTTCCTTTTACTTTAAAATATAATTTAACTTTATTTAAGTATTTATTAATTTCTCTAATTTGTAGCTTATATCCTCCAATAGACTAAAATATTTGAAGGATTAAAAGTTGAATAATAATGGGCATAGTAAAAAGAAAGTCTAAAATTAAAAAGAATAATTACCGTATATACTCTATTAATTACCCTCCCTCAAATAATTACCCCGCCTCTATTAGTTACCCCCTCCAGCGAAAGGTTGAAACAATAATTACCCCCTTAAAAATAGTTATAATTAGCCTTCCTAAAATAACCTCTATTAATTACCCCGGTTCTATTAATTACCCTCTCCAGGGTGAGGTCGAAACAATAATTACCCAGGGTAATTAATAGAGTATATACGGTATAGGAAGTCCCAGGCATCCAATTTAGGTTTAGGCCATTATAAGGATTATGTATTAAGAAATAGAAAGCCCCAGTTCAAACGAAATATAAATTGAGCAGGCCCATATACATATTGTCAATAGTTTCAGAGAATTAAAAAAAAAGAAAACTTTTTAATTAATAAGATAAAAGGTTGGAATGGATGTTAGCAAATAGCTAGAAAAGATTTTATGGGCTGATAGGAAGTTTTAGAAAATAAAAAAAAAGAAGTGGTAAAATATTTAGGTATTTCAAAAATAAATAAATTTCTAGTCAAGAAAAAGCAAAGGCACATAACTCGAAGATTAGATAACAGCAATTTTATTAAGCGCAATTAAAATAAAAGCAAGCTCTTTATTTAAAAATGGAGGCCAAATTTATTGTACATTCAAAATTTAATTTTGTATTTCTTTTAATTTTTGATCTATTCCTTAT